AAAAAATAAACATTATCAAAATAAGACAATTTAATAAAATATACCTGATGATGCATTTTTGTAAGTTCTATTGATTATCGATGTAATGAGCAGTGACAGCCATGTATCTTCTTTTTTGGTGATCAGCAGTCCACATATCAGTTGTGATAGCAATTCTCCCTTCATTAGCTTTCAACTTGGATATTATTTTTGCCTTTTCCTATTTGAAAATCTTCAAAATATCACTCTTTATAGTATTTCGAGAAGGCATAGCAAACAAAGGTTGGAGACTGTAAAAATACTTTCTGAATTGCACATGATCAACCATTGATAAATGATATTTGTGCATGATTATCATGTTGGCAAGCTCTCTCCTTGTGACATTTTGATCAAAGGAAAAGTTTTTTAGTGTTACTTTTCCATCTGCCTTTCTTTGATTTGCTACCAGCACTTGTTGATGAATATCCATTTGAAATCGCTTGCTGCACCTGTCTGAATGCTCACGTAAATGACTTGTCCCATTCTTTGAAGCACCACCAAGTTTTTTCTTACAATAATTGCATATTGCCTTCCATTCATTATTGATTTTCTCTTTTTTAAAATGTTTCCATACTTCTGATTTTAGCTTACTTAAGTTATACCCACTATCATCAACTTCAGCACCATGATTCATCACACTTACTGATTGAGTTGTATTTTCATCAGATGTTAGAATTGAAGTTTGCTGAATTGGTGATTGATGTGAGGTAAAAGTAAGAGATGTTGGGGAACACGAATTATCTCTCAAATTAGACATTTTACCTTCATTCAAAAATGACAGACATGATTAATTTCCAAACACCACTAAAGTTTATGCTAATGACAATAAACTAAGATTATAACTTGAAGGGCAAAGCAAGCTATTCAGAAAGACTAGACTAATTATCTCAAATAGAACCATTTTGTTATGATTCCCCCTTCAAAAAAATGCTAAGGTAACACACTGAGAACTTCAGTATTGTTGATATGCATGGATCAGAACTAGACGATGGCATATTCAACTATAGACATATAATCTAACAAGAATCCTCACCTATTATATAAACAAGAACGAAATTTCTCAGTGAATTTCATACAAACAAGGTAGTAACTCATCAACTTAAATTTCTTGTAGATCAGAATGTTATCATCATTATGTTTGTTATTGCCTTCAAATAAGGCAACAAGAGATAAAGGGAGAATAAGGAGACATAGCAAACATGCCTGAAAATAACATCTAGTAAAATCATCTATGGCCTGTTTCCTACCTAAATCTAGCGAACTTTTTGCTAAAGTCGTCGGCGACATCGATAACATCATTTTTGAAAGAAAAACCCCGAAAATCAACCAAAAAAGTTATTTTTTTAGAAATTCAAATTAATATCCTTGCTAAACTCGCACTGAAAAACTTAAAAGAAGATCGACATAGCAGACATTTTGAGGAAGAAAAAGAAAATAAAAGGAGAAAAAAAACAAAAATTGAAACGTTTCGGATTTCATTGGAAGAAACGAAAATCAAAACTGCTTACCTAAAAAATCGAGAAAGATGAACAAGAAAGTAAAGCAGCGACTTTTTAAAAATGAAAGTTAAAAATTCTAAAAAATTAAAAAAATTTTCTTACAAAAGATTAAGGTTGTTGAGAAACAAGCCTTTCAAAACTAAGTAATAAAAAAAAAAAAACTGTTAAAGTTATTTTCAGAGAAAAAAAATAAGCTTCTTCTCCTTCTTCTTCTTCTTATTTTTTTTTTTCTGTTTTGCTTTGGGTTTTATCAAACTCAAAGAAACGGTTTGGATCTGATAAAGAGGGTTTAAATTAAATGGTTTGAAATTTATTCAAGACTAAAATAGGAGGACTGAATTGATTAAAATAATAATTAAAATAATATTTTTGGAAATAAAAATAGAAAGAACTGACGAAATTGAAATGCACGCTTGGGAGTGGGTAGCACCTGTGTGAGTGTGAAGCAGCCTGACAGTCTGGCAGATAGAAGCAGAAATGCAAAACAGAACGGCTGAGAAAGACGAAAGAGAACGGCCAAAACCCAAAAGAAATTACAATTCAGAAACCTTAAAAAAATTATATATATATATTAAGGGTATTTTGATAAATATTTTGAGGCGGGTAGGGTCGGATTTCATACAAACTCAACCCCGACCTGAATCCGATATTTTTAAAAATAAAATCGACCCGACCCGAAACCCGATTTTTGAAAAAAAAATCTGACCTTAAAATAGTCGGGTCGGATCTGACGGTTTCAGGTTGATTTGCCGACCCTACTTACAACTAAAAATAAGTTTAGGCATTTGATTGCCCTCGCCACTGAACATTTAAAGGGCATCGACTACCATTTCTTATAAATCTAAATATATTATATGTATAAAAAAATTAAAATATTCTTACTTAATATTATTATATAAAAAATTTTATAAATAAAAAAATTGACATGGTTGTTGATTTTTGTAAATGTTTACTTTTTTAATTTGATGTTGATTTTATTAACATAGTAACATGAATTAATAAAGTAATTTTCACATTGTGTCGATGATTTTTATATTCATATAAAATTTCAATTTTAATTCATTTGATATAATTTATAAAATTTTCATCCTCGTATAAAAAGAATTTAATAACATTCATCTAATTATTAATATAATCAATTATTTTTTATTAACTTTGTAATTGATCGTTATACTTTTAGAAAATCATTTAAAAATTAAAAACATCCTAAATTTTTTTTAAAATATCTAAAAAATTAAAAAAAGTCAACAAATTAAAATATTTGATTTTTTAGGCTTTTTTCAAAATTTTAAAAACCTTAAATTTATTTTTTTCAAATATTTTAATTTTTTAAAATATCATATTTCTCGAGTTTTTTTAACAATCATATTTTAATTTCTTAAAAAATAAAAAATTTTGAATTTATTATTTTAAAAAATGAATTTTATTTTTTTTCAATATTTTTAATTTTTAAAAAAAATAATATTTCTTGAATTACTATGAAAAATCATAGATCATTCTTTAAAAATACTTTTTTATTTTTAAAATTTCTTAAATATTTATCAATATTTTATTAAAAAAAAATAATTTTTGAAATTTTAAATAATATCATATTTTTCTAGAAAAAGTTAAATATTTGTAAATTTTAAAGAAAATTTTAGATTTTTTTAAAATATTAAATTTAATATTTTAAAATTAAATGTATTAAAAAAAAATCAAATTTAATATTTTAGAACAATGACAAATTCTAAAAATTGAAACTAATTTTTTAATAAAAGAAATTTAATTTTTTAAAAAATAAAAGAAATAATATTTTTTGAAAAATAAAATTTTGGAAAAAATTTAATTTTAATATTTTAAAAATAAAGAAAATTTCTAAATAATTCATAAATTTGAATTTTTTAATTAAAACCTTATTTTCTAAAAAATTCAAGAAATATTCGTTTTGACTAAAAATTAAAAATTTGGAAAATTTTTAATTTAATGTTTGAAAAATACGGAAAGCCTAAAATTTTTTTACATTTGTATCATTTTTAACTTTTCAAATATTTCTTTTGAATTCTTTAAAACTTTTTTATTTTTAAATGTTTTTCTAAAAAAGTAATAATTGCGTTAGCAAAGTTAATAAAGAGTAATTGATTGTATTAATAATTGGATCAATATTATCAAATTTAATTTATTCAAAGATAAAATTTTTATAAATTCTAGTAAAGGAATTGAAATTCTAATTTCATGTGAGTATAAAATAATTTGTACAATTTAACAATTAATTTGATTCAATCATGTTGTTACATAAAAAAAATCAAAGCTATTTAAATAAAGTTAATATCATGTCAGTAAGATCAACATTTATGACATCAAATTAATAATTACATTAACATTTTTAATAACAAAAATTTAATGAAATTAATAATTAAAATAAAATTATCAAATTAAAATATTTTAGAATCTATTTCTATAAATTATAGGAAAACTACTAAACTTTAAATTTCATTAAAGTACATAAATAATTATTATAATTTAACCCTCATTTTAAAAAGAGTGGAATCTACAAGAAAAGTTGGTTTTTTCATGTAATTTCATTTCAAGGGCTTTTGTTATTTTTAAGGAACTTTGCTCCTATATATATATATATATGTATATATATATATATATATTGTAAAAGTGTAAATGAATATAGCTTTTGGCTATAAATATACTTAATTTTTATTTATTTATTAAATTTAAAAAATAATTTTTAATAATATTTTTATATTCATTATAAAATAAATCGAACACAAATAAAGATTTATTTAGTTCGTTGATATCTATGAATAATTTTATTTAAAATTTATTTAAAATTAGTTTGTTTACAATAATAATAATAAAATTATATTTTATTTTTAATTTTAAGATTCGTTTATATTTTTTTGAGTTTATTTATATTCATTTAGAGTTTATTTATTTAAATTTATTTGATTATTATTTATGAACATATTCATTTATATATTTGTAAATATATTCGTTTAATATTTATAAACAAACTCATTTAATTTTATTGAATAAATATAAACTAAAAACAAATATCTTATCATTTAAATGAATCTAACTTAAACAAATAAAAAAATTTTCTTACTAAATACGAACTAAACTCAAACTACTCTAAAAATAAATTAATAAATTAAAAACCATAAATATAAGTTGATTTATTCGTATTTGATTCCTTTTTAATTAATTAATTTATTTTTTTTTGCATTTTAAAATCTGTCAAACAATTGTTTTTTTATTAAAAATATATTTAAAAGAAAATTGAAAAAAAAAAAAGAAAAAACACTTAATTTTGGGAACGGAAAAGACTTTCTCTTTCTTACTTGCTGGATTTTGCTTTAATATGAATCAACATTTCACATTTCGATTGGGCTGGTGCTTGCGCTCAAAAGCCGAAGACTTTCTCTGAGCTTCTCTAGGATTTTATTGATTCTTCTACGAAGAAAGAGCACTTTTGCAATGGCTTTTTCTTCTCTCATCAGATCCATAGCTGCCGCGCCCCTCATTGAAGCCTACGCCCGCTCCGACCTCTCTCCCTTTTCCTCCGATCGCCTCAAGGTCCTTCACTTTCCCCTGATCAACATCGTATGTAGCTTTTAAAATAAGTGACACAATTTTTTCTTGTATTAACTATTGGATTTTTAGAGGAAAAATAATAGGAAGAGCTGAGCTAAACTTAAGCTGAATGACGGAAATTTGTGTAACTTCAAATCATTATTTTCTTGCTCTTTTTCTATGACGTTTTCCTGGTAACCAAACGGAATCTTAAGAATTACAGTACATTTGTCATGCATGTTTTATTTATTTAAGGTATGGAGGTATTTATTTTTGAGTTTGTTATATTTTGTTCGTTTGGTTGGTGAGACAACCTTACTTTTTAAATCGTTTTCGTTATTTTGATGAATATAGGAAATTAGAAATTCATTTAGAATAAAATTTTCTTTTTTAATTTAATTTTAAATTTAATGTCCTAGTTTTTCACCGTTTTTTTTTTTTTTTTATGCATATATTAATGCTTATTGTTAGTGGGCAACCTCAACTCACTTTTTTGTGGCAGTCTGATTGATAATGCTATGTTATTCAGCTTCAAGCATTGGTTTTGGTGGCAATCTCAACTCCATTTTTGGTGCTGCTGTTTCTACTAGGTCTTCTTCTTCCTTACAGTTGAGTTATCCCGTATTGGCCGTTCAAAATTTTCCTCATTGTGTAAAAGTTTGTTTTTTTTTTTTTTTCCTACGATACTGAAGGTTTTTAAAAATTATTCATCCATTTAGGAAATGCAATTCAAGGAGTATCCAACCCATCAAAGCCACTGCTACTGAAATTCCTCCTGCAGTTCCAAGTAAGAATTTGGAAAATTATTTTTCCGTTATGTTAATTGTTTTTATAAGGCTAGGGACGGTAAAAAGGAGAACATTGTATGCACTGAGGTTTTGCTTTTGGCTTATTTCTCATTTGCTTAGAGTCATGGAGAAGTGGGAAGACAAGGATTGGAATTAATGGTATGTTTGCTTATTTTGATTAAATTTGTGCGTTGCTTTATTTGATAGTTGCATGTATGTTCACCATGTTATTTCTTTAATATCCATAGAAAATGATTTCACTTCAGTTAGTGTGTGTAGTTGAGTTGCTTTCAGTATGCTTGCAAATTAGCAGGGAACTAGCTTCCTAGGCTTAATTCATTTGGTAAGCCTGAACGGGGGTTTGGGTAGGTATTCTAGGCTTGAGGTTCCCACCCTTTCCCGAGAAAACATTGTTGTGATGAAGTACAGTTCATATATACTATTACAGTATATATGGTTGAAAAGTTTCACAAGCTAGATATGTGCAAATTGGAACTCAGATTGATGGTTACAATACTGTTATGATACATTATAATATCGTTAAGGTTCGGTTAGCTTTTGACCTTTAATTCAGTTGCTGTTGGCCATGTGCTTAGGAACTTTATTTTGAGGTAGGTGGAGCTAAAAACATTATGGGGATCTTGCTGGATGGATAGAATTGGAATTCTGTTGAAGTATTTGTTTCAAGTCCCATCAGTACCTGTTGCTTTACTTAGATTTACCGTAATGCAGAAGTCCCTGTTGCTCTACTTAGCATGATGTATCTTGTAACGACTCATTTTTTACGATGAACCTTTGCAGGTTCTGGTCGGATTGGAAGGTTGGTTTTACGAGTAGCAACCTCAAGGGGTGATATTCATGTAGTAGCAGTCAATGACCCTTTTATTGATGCTAAGTACATGGTAAATATGTCCATTTGCACTTTTTGGTTCAAGCTATAGCCTTCTAGTGTCATCTTTTATGGAATTGATCCCCTACAAGAATATGTGAAGCTCAGCATGTCTGGAAGCACAGGAGAACGTTCCTTTGCTGATATTATTACTAGTATTCGATATTGGGCCATTCATAGTATTACAATACCTTCCATATTCATTGTGGGTTGGTTATTCGTCAGCACAGTTTCAGCTTATTATGTGTTTGGAAGCCCTTGTCTAAATGAGTATTTTACAGAGAGTTGACAAGGAATTCCATTAATAACTGACCTTTTTGATTCCTTGGAACAACTCAATGAATATATTAAATTTTTACAGGAGACCCAATGACTATAGATCAAACCTATCCAATTTTTACAGTGTGATGGTTGGTTGTTTATGGACTAGCTGTACTTACTGTTTCTTTTTTGAATATATTAAATTTGAATATATTCTGTTTCAATTTGTGTAAGATATCTCTGTTTTATGAACCTGTGTTTGTCCTAGTTTATCAGAGATGGCAACAAACGGAAACTATGCATCATTTCATTTATAAACTATTACTGCTATTAAGTAAGCATATGATTTCTCCTGTTTACCTTTGAGAAGTTTTACCTGTTAGAAAAATTTCCTTGATATGGGGACTTGATAGATTTTGTAGCATTATGTAGTAGTTGTGGCATCCATGTACAAAAGCCTTGTAGATTGTTAATATCCCTGTTTTCTTTTAGCCAGATTTTTGTCCAATACAACGACAACAATGACAACAACGAACTAAGCCTTATATCCCATACTTTGGGGTAGGAGCCAGATTTTGTCCATAAATTTCCATGAATTTTTTTTATCAAGATTAAAATGGACATAGATTTTCAATTCGTGAGAAGGCTAGTTATTTGTGATATTGTATTGTATCCATTTCATTAAAGGCTAGTTTCTATTTTGTTATTTTTTTTGAAATGGTTAGCTTGGAATATAATCAATACAACAACAACAACAACACGTTAAGCCTTATATCCCATACTCTGGGGTCGGCTGTATGAAGAACCAAATAAGAGAATTAAGTTAGGTTATTGTTTGAATCTTCTTGTGCTACTCATTTCCTATTAACAACAACCTTTTCATCTAATTTCTTAACCATCATATCGTTTTTTATTACTTTCATCTATATCTTTTGTGGTCAACCTCTAAATGTTTTGATCTCTCCTAGATCTAGAGACTCAATTTTCCTAACCGGTGCATAGCTAGACCTACGTTTCATATGTCCAAACCATTGCAAACGACCCTCTCTCATCTTCTCTTCAATTCGAACAATCCCTAATTTTTCACAAATCTCTTCATTTCTGATTTTGTCTCTTCTAGTCTTACCACACATCCATCTAAGCATTCTCATCTCTGCTATGTTAATTTTTCTTCTCATGTTGTTTCTTAACAGCCAACATTCAATTCCATATAATAATCCTGGTCTTATAGTTGTTTTATACTTTGGTTTTAACTTTAAGGGCATGTTCCAATCACACAATACACTCAACGCACTTTGTCACCTTACCCATCTTGCTTGAATCCTAAGTTTGACATTTGCTTTTATCTCAGTATCATTCTAAATAATTGATCCCAAATATCGAAAATGGCTACTTTTTGGTACTCCCTCACCATCCAACTTAATCATATTAGTACCCACTTCCTTGTGACTACTAAACTTGTATTCCATATATTCAGTTTTAGATCTATTCAATTTAAAACCTCGAGACTCCAATGTACTCCTCCATAATTCTAATTTCGTATTAAGGGTATCATAAGTTTTAACAACTAAGATTATATTGTTCATAAATAATATACACCATGGCACTTTATCTTGGATACGTCCAGTGAGTTTGTCCATAACTAATGCAAAAAGGAAAGGACTTAGTGCTAAGCCTTGATGTAATCTTGAGGTAATAGGGAAGCTATTTGTCATGCCTCTAACCATCCTCACATTCTTTACCACTTTTTCATACGTATCTTTAACTATGTTGATGTACTTTAAAAGCATTCCTTTCTTCATTAAGACCCACCAAAGCATCTCTCGAGGAACTCTATCATATTCTTTCTCCAAGTTGATAAATACCATATGTAGATCTTTCTTTCTTACCCGAAAACCCTTTTATAAAAATCTTAAAAGGTGCATTGCCTCTATTGTGGAGCTTCTTGGCATAAACCAAAATAGGTTTTCATAAATAGTGACCTCATGTTGCAACCTATATTCAATTACTCTCTCCCAAAGTTTCATATTATGACATATAAGTTTTATTCCTTGATAGTTTGAACAATCTTTTACATCACCTTTATTCTTGTATAAAGGCACAAGAGTGCTATTCCTTCATTCTTTTTGGCATCTTTTGGGTATGCCAAATTTTGTTGAAAAGATTCATCAACCATCTTATCCCTATTTCACCCAAGCATTTCTAGACTTCAATTGAGATTCCCTCTTTTCCTACAATTTTCTTTAATCTCATCATTCTCAAAGCCTTTTTAACCTCATAGCTTTTAATATTATGCTTAAAAACATGATTTACATCTTCAAAAGGTATGTTCAACCCACCTATGTCATGTTCAAAATTGCTATTAAAGAGATTATCAAAAAAATCTCTCCATCTCTTTTTAATCTCCTCGTCCTTCACTAAAACTCTTCCATCCTTGCCTTTGATTTTTCTAACGCCATTAAGATCTCTACTCTTCTTATCCCTCATCATAGCAATTTTAAACAGTTATTTTTCTCCAGGTCTTGCCTCTAGTTTTCTATATAACTCCTCATGGATCTTACTCTTTGAGTCTTGAATAGCTTTCTTGATTTGCTTTTTTGCTGTCTTATACTTCCGATAACTCTATTCATCCCTATTGTTCCACAAATTTTTATAACACTCTTGCTTAACTTTAATTGCCTTTTTCACATTCTTGTTCCACCATCAAGATTCCTTTGCTAATGGTGCCTTACCCCTAGATTCCCTAAGTGTCTCTTTAGCAACCCTTTGAATTTCAGTTGTAATATTTTCTCACATTACTTCAACATCCTCATCAGACTTCCAATCAACTTGTTTGACTAGTCTATCCCTAAATGTTGTCATTTGTCCCCCTTCAAGTTCCACCACTTAATAAGTGGTTCATGACTCTGATGTCCCTTCTTTGACCCTCTGAGGTGGAGTAGATTGAGTACTAATAGTCTATGTTGTGTGGCCACACTCCCACATGGTATAATCTTGCAGTCCTTGCAACTATTTCTATCCTCTTTCCTCATAAAAAAAAATCAATTTAACTAGCATTTGATCCACTCCTAAATGTCACCAAGTGTGATTCCCTTTTCCTAAAACATATGTTTAATATCGTTAGGTCAAATGTAGTAACAAACTCTAGGATAATCTCTTTGATTTTGTTTCTTTCTCCCAAGCCATATCCCCTATGTACCTTCTCAAAGTTATTACTATCCTTGCCTACGTGACTATTCATGTCTCCTCCAATAGACAATTTTTCTCCGTATGGTATGGCTCACACTGTCTCATCTAAATCTTCTCAAAATTTTTGTTTACTCTCTTGATTCAAACCTATTTGTGGGGCATAGGCACTAACGAGGTTAACAGTTTCCTCTTATAAAATAAGTTTAACAAGTAAAATTCTATCTCCCTTTCTTTTAATCTCAACCACATCATCCTTCAAATTCTTATCAACAATTATCCCCACTCCATTTCTAGTCCTCTCCTTCCTTGTGTACCAAAGCTTAGAGCCCCATGTTTCTATCTCTCTAGTCTTTTTCCCTACCCACTTAGTTTCTTAGAGACACATAATATTAATTCCTCTTCTAGCCATTGCATCTCCCATCTCTACAAGCTTACAAGTTAATGATCCTATATTCCAAATAGCTAAGCGTAACTTACCCCTAGGGACTAGATTCTTTATTTGTGTTCATCCACCAAAACACAAGAACCCTTGCCTATTTGACACCACACCCTGGTGGCGATGTGGCGCGTCATTTTTGGGTGATGACCTAGCAACCCTTGCATATTTAACACAACATCCGGGCTTCGATGTAGAGCATTGCTAGAGGAGACAACCCGACAAGGATTCTTGCTTTGGTCTTTCATCATGGTTTGACTATGTTTTACACTGGCTGTCAACCTATCACAACCCTCCTCCTTTATCTGAGCGTGGGACCGGCAATGTGATAACAAATAGGCGGAGTTTCAGAATATAATCAATAAAATTAAAATTTCATGAAACTTTTAAACTAAGCTTAAGGTAAACTTGATTTACATTTAGCAACAAGGCTGGCTATTTGTGATACTTTATCCCTTTCCTTTAAGGTTAGCTTATATTTCTTAATTTTCTGAAATTTTTTGGTTGTCTGAGCAACATATTTTAAATTTAATTGTTGGCTTCTGTTTGTAGTTCTTCTGATATAAAAAAGTTTCTGTTTTTGTTCTCCTGGAATCACAATCAAAGCTACTTTATAGGTACTATGAATCCATAAATTATAGGTAATCATTGTTATTGTTTCCTTATTTTGTGTGCGTAGCTTTGTGTGTATGTCTAGGGTGGGTTTGTTTGCTTCAGGGCACTCATTGTTTGTCTGTTCTGTTCTTTGCATGCCATGATAACTGTCCTTATCATTCTTCAGGTCATTAAGCAATTGTAGTAATTCACTAAGATTTTTTGTTTTTTTTTATCCAGGCTTATATGTTTAAATATGATTCAACTCATGGAGGCTTTAAGGGAACCATCAGAGTTGTGGATGAGTCCACCTTGGAAATTAATGGCAAGCAAATTCAGGTTGTAAGCAAAAGGTATTATTCTGGAGTGTTTGTATTGGAATTTGAGCTAGCTTATCCAAGATGTGTTATTCTCATGAACAAAAATTCTGTTGTTTGATTTCATTAAATATTTGCTAATAAACTATCACAACTTGGGTTAACATTTAAATAATATCCACCAGGGACCCTACAGAGATCCCTTGGGGTGATTATGGGGCTGAGCTTGTTGTTGAGTCATCTGGTGTTTTCACAACATTAGCTAAGGCATCTGCACATATGAAGGTTAGTTGTCTAAGTTTCCTGCTTTTCTGTATGATTGCACAAAAACAAACACATAGCACAAGCACACCTTTGAATGCATGCACTTCCTAAAATGTTCCAAATTGAACATTCATGAATGTCTTTTGCAGGGTGGTGCCAAGAAAGTGGTAATTTCAGCTCCCTCAGCTGATGCACCTATGTTTGTGGTGGGAGTAATGAGAAGACCTACAAGCCAAGCATGGACATAGTTTCTAATGCTAGTTGCACTACCAATTGTCTTGCTCCTCTTGCCAAGGTTTAATTGCATCCTCAGATTTTAAGCTTTATTTGTCTTATCTGTACAAGTGGCATTTAAACAAATAATTTTTCCCATTATTTTCTATTATGGGTTACTGGTCACTGGGTAGGAGTTAAACATGGGGAATTGTGTTTACTTTGTAAGATTTTGCTTTTGTATGCTTTGAGTTCATGGCAGTTGACAATTCCATTTGCCTGTATTCGACACTATTGATTATCTGGCACCTATAAAGCATTTGGTTTGCTTTTTTTGGCAGTTTTCCTTAGTTTTTAAATAACATACTGCAGGTGGTTCATGAGGAATTTGGTATCATTGAGGGTTTAATGACAACCGTCCATGCAACTACAGGTATCCAGTTATTGTTGGCTCCTCATTCATTTGCATGGCATGTGATGTTGCATTGTTATGATAATATGACAGTTTTTAATATCCAGCAATGCAAAAGACTGTTGATGGCCCTTCAATGAAGGATTGGCGTGGGGGTCGAGGAGCTGGGCAAAACATCATCCCTAGTTCAACTGGTGCAGCAAAGGTAAGAAATGGAAATAGCCAGATTTAAAATCCAGCATGGTTTTGAGATGCAAAGCTTTAATTATAATTGAAATTAAATAATGATTTGTGTATTTCTTGTAGGCTGTTGGAAAAGTTCTTCCTAAACTCAATGGAAAGCTTACTGGAATGGCATTCTGTGTCCCTACACCCAATGTTTCTGTTGTGGATTTAACTTGTCGACTTTGGAAGGGTGCTTCCTATGAAGATGTCAAAGCAGTAATAAAGTGAGTTTTCTATTTTTTTTGGCTTGAGGCTACTTGTTGCTTCCATTCTCTTCATTCATTTATTCATTCATTCATTCATGTTTCTTTGCTTTTGCATTTTTACTTTGTTCTTTTGTTGTATTTCACATTCACTGAGCTTCTCATTAATTTTTAATTAAAGGTATGCTGCAGAAGGGCCTCTTAAAGGCATTCTTGGACACACAGAAGAGGATGTTGTCTCTAATGATTTTGTTGGTGATTCAAGGTTCTCTCTCTCTCTCTCTCTATCTCTCTAATGTATGCATCCATCCCACATGCCTTTTGCTGTGATGTTGTATACCGTGTGCTATACTGTCTAATTCATATGAGGTGTGCAGGCTTACAAGCATTTTGATTTTTGAGTGTAATCCAGGCATGAAATGTCCTAGTGTATTTGTGGACTGTGCTTGCTTATAAAGTGTCAATTTTTCTGAGACAGGTTATTTAGTTTTTTTTTTTTACCTGACAATTGAGAAATAATACTTGCTAGTATACCCAATGTTCAGTTGGTAGTATTGCGGTATTTTTGAAGGCTTCCAAGTTTGCTTCATTTAGATTTGGCTTTTTCCTATATCTTAATCGATGGCATTTAAGGTTCTAATGGGCTTGTTTTATTCCAGGTCGAGCATATTTGATGCAAAAGCTGGAAAATAGGGTTGAGTGCTTGTTTCAAGAAGCTTGTTGCATGGTACGACAATGAGTGGGGTTACAGGTATGTTTTCATCTCTCTCTCTATCAGCACTCCCACACTCCCACACGCAGAGGCACACACCCAAACCTTTCAGTACCTGTGTGCACACGCATACATACCCCGCTGCACGGGCAGACACAGTAAAACACCACAGTAATGCAGATTTTTTGTATTTTATATCACAAAATTCAAATCATCTTGTCTGATGTTTTTCTTAAAATTCTGTTACAGCAACCGAGTATGTGACCTAATAGAGCACATTGCACTGGTAGGAGCAACCCGAGACTAAATATTTCCAGAGGTATGCTGTTGCTACTGAGTGACGCTGCAATTTTAGTGTGTGCTAGAAGTTTGTTTCAGAGAGTAGGCATCAATTTGATAGTACCCAAAGTTTTTGGTTGGATTGCTTATCGATGTAAGAGTTGGGCATCCCATAATGCGATTCTGAAATAATAAAAATTCAAGCTTGTATGAGCGGCACCTTAAGACTTGATCTTTGTGACAAAAGTTACAGCAATATCTTTGTCCCAAAAAAAAAAAAAAAAACATTGTTGGGCAGTATCTTATATCTGAAACATCTATGCATGATCTGGTTTGATGTTTATTTTTATGGTGATATCTTGGATGATAACATGATACTTGCAAAATCATATGCTTGATGAAGGGAAGTAGTAACTGAAATTAAATATACTACTAGTATTTAGAAGTTGGGATCTCTGGTATATGATTCCGTAATATAATTAGAATTCAACATGAATTTGTTAGAAAAAGTCAAAATTAAATATGATTTTAATCTATCCTAGTTGGATGGATATTCATTCATTACGCTAATTATTGGCCAATTTCTTTAATAATAATATTAAGACTAATAAGAATTAATATTAAGACTAATAAGAATTATTGGCCATTTTTAAGTAACATTAATAACAGTTAAACCCAACCTCAAAATTTGAATGCAAAAAAAAAAAAAAAAACTTAAAAATTACTTGAAGTTTAGCATGAGCAGCAGAACGCGTGAAAGGAGAAACGAAATTGCCACTCACTAGTCTACATTGAGTTGACTCACAAACCCGTTCTCCCAAGTCTAATTCTGCTCTGCCCAAGGACAGAACTCTATCCTCTTTAATGGGCCAAAATATGCGATGAAAACATGAATTCTGCTAAAATTAATCTGACGATTGTTTCTTGTTGAAAGCAGTCTAACCGTCTGAAATCAGCTTCGATTTCTTATTTCAGAACCAAAGATGCAAACAACTCACTCTCAAAATAAAAGTAAGCTGGAAACAAGAAAGGAAAACCGAAATGTATGTCTTCTAATCTCGGCTTAGTTTCCTGAAATAAACCAGCTGAGGATAGCGACTACAATCTGTAGTATAGAACAATATAGCATGATGCTGTTGTAGGTAACCAAATTGCGCCTAATTGATGCCCAACAGCTATTGTAATAGGAGTGAATTTCCCGCAGCTGCTTCCAGAGATAGCATCCTCGAACACTGAAGATCAAATTTATCCCGAGATTATTCAGCATGTTTATAAAGCGCATCTCATCTCGATAAGGGCCCCTGATAATGTCAACAGAACGGAGAAATTCAACATCTTCGGGTTGCTTCAGGAGGTAATTCATGAAGCATACATAAGAAGTGAAATGTCTGTGTCGATTTGGCAAATATTGTTCCAAAGCAACACAGTTCACCAGGATGGTGCTAGTGACATCATCTATGGGGAAGGGAGGGATTTTAAGAGCTAAGGGTGGGATTTGAAGTTTCCTGAAATCTATCTCCAAGAGACTTTTAGCTGTCTTTTGTCTTACCGTGATTCCTGAATTACGCAGGTGCTTCACGCTTTGGATTGAATACTCCCAAAGACTGTGATTCCCTTGTCGTGCTTCTTCTTCGGTTGAGGGAAGAAGACTGGAGCGGAATAAGTCCAGTAAATGTTTAGGGTTTTCAATTTGGGAGTTGTCCACATCTGAAGGGCTGCAGAAGACTTGTTTCAAAAATCTCAAGGCAAGGGTGGTCAAAGTTGCGCCTTGACCAAAGTTGGATAACTCAAACAATTTCTCAAGAATGACAAAGGGTAACTGGTTCTCCAGTTTCAGCAGATCTGCAATCAGAGTTGGGACAAACCGTTGCCATTCATCCGTACCCTCCTTATGTTGACGCTCCTCATATTGAAGGAAGAGCTCTACCATAAAGCAACCATCGAGCAATATCATGTTACCAAGGTCATCATCAGAAGGCATATCAATATTTTGCGGGTAGCATCTTTTTGTTTCTTCTTTTAGCTCCTGCAATTTCTCAGGAGAGACTAACTGCTCTCCCTCCTGTCTTCCTGTCCGAGAAAGAAATTTGGAAAGAAAACTTTTCTTGTGCACTTCGAAGGGACGTAGATCTTCGTTGCCTCTGTGATAAGGGCCGAATGATGCTAACTTTGGCGATCGGCATTGGATCGAATCATTATCTACGCCAACAAGGAAATCAGGAAAAAGATACATGGTGTAAGTTCCAGGATCGGGCGTCTGCTGCCTTTGCCGGTCTATTTGCCTCTCAAGATTAGCCACTAAAAGGGCCACATCTGGGACTTGCGGATCCATCCTAGGCTCTTCCTCTGCATGTTAATAATAAAAAATAAATTCTTCCTTTTCTCTCAGTCTCTCCGTCTGTTCTGTTATGTTGATGAATACCACCTCAAACAAATTTTCTAGGAAGGAGGGTGCTGGAAATGAAATTAGTCTCCTAGCAAAGTCTAAGTCTTTATCTATCTTTTATTGACCTAGAGATTAACGACTACAGTCTTTCAACTTACAAACAAACAACCAAAAGACATGATTATTGGGTAAAGAAATTTCCAAGCAACTTCATATGGCCGATTTCATTTCTATTAATTTAATTCTCATCCGGCAGCAGTAAGTAAAGTCATCAAAATCACTACTTTAACATGCGCGGTTCCTGTCCTCTTCACCAGGAAACAAGGTAGGTCAGATACCTTTAAAGAAAATATTGTTTGGTGTCAGATTAGAGTGCTCTACTGTTAGGTGATTATTGGGGTGACTTTTCTAAAGTGTTCTATTACGGCTGCTCGCATGCGCTTCAATTTGTTTTTTAAATGAGTATTTAATTTAAAATAATTAATAATAGGTGAAATTATTTTGTTATATTTATTATGTGTTTTCAACGTTACTCTCTTCTCACGTATAAGAATAACAATATGATTAAATCTATTATGAAAGGACTACTAATTAGGACGACATTTGCTCTGATATTTTAGTAAATTTTAAGCTAAATATCTAATTTAAAATAAATAAACATTATATGAAAGGACTGTCATATTTATTTGCTTTAGATAGGATGAATATAAGTCGGCTTCAACTTAGTTTGACTGATTTTAATCGATTGAATTTGGTGAAGTTAATTTGGTTTTGATGATTGTTGGTTAAATAATTATTGATTTAATTGGGTTGATTTTTTATTTTTAAAATTAATAACCTAACTAATCAATAGATTTTTAAATATATTATATATAATATGAATATATATATATAAGTATTTTTTTTTATTTTTGAGAATGACATATAATATTAATGACAAGATTATATGATAAGTTTTATGGAGTAAAAATTGATACAAAATTATTATTCAAAATTGATAATGCAAAATCTTAGAAGATTTTTGCTTGCTTACTATATCCATTTCACTAGTAATTGATAATCCAACGAGATTCACCGCACTTATGGTATAATTCTTGATCTAATATACTATAAAAGAACGCTTAGCGGAAAAAGTTGTCCATTTGCAATTGCAACTCCAAGACACTTGAAATTTTTCATTGTTTCCGTCTTAGCATCCGATAATCAAACCCAGACGATTAATTTAAAAGAAGGTGCATACACTTTTGAAAGATCAACAATTTCATCAACCAAACCACACAAGTTTTTTTTTTTTTTTTTTTTTATCTTATTTTCATAAGATCAAACAGTTCCTTAACATTAGCATCAAAACACAAATCACACTAACGACAGATGGTGATAAATCACCCAGCAGTCCCTTCATCTTTTTTGGCTCCAATCACTATTAAGCTGGCCATTTTTCAATGGTGCCATTCTCGTTCAAGTATTCCACAAATTCATCTATAAGATAGGGCCATGCACCTTCAGCATCGTAATTTGATAGTTCAGGGTCTACCGTCTGCATGATAAAACACATCAAAAGACCTGAGATGTTTTTCATTTAACATAGCATTATCATTATTATCTGGGTTTCACTAAGAACCAACTATGAGATTTCTATTCTCCAACTACAATTAGAAATCAATGATGAATGTCCACATAGATCAATTGATTGAAAGGTATTATCTCTCTCTCTCTTTTCCCCCAATTTTCTAGGCAATTAAAATGCAACAAATGGTTGCAGCAAGCAATTTGAGTTGATGATTACGACATGTTTCAGCAGCAAGAACATGGTAGTAATAAATGGCAGTGTAATACTAATAAACAGCTCAGCAAGACAGATGAATGATTTTAACTAGACTTGCATAATGAATGGATGAAACATCAATATGACGCAGGGACAAATATGGAACAGAAGACAACACAAACATGTCATATAAATGCAGAATATTCTCACCAACAGCCTACTGGAAACTCTATTGCTCAAACTCAGCTGTTTCCCTAATGTGCCATTTTTACAAAGCAAACATGTGTAAGGCTGTAAGATCAGTGTGAACATGGCGTTGAAACATCATACACCCTCTGCTCAATGATTGGTTGTGCTCTCATCAGCAAACCATGGTTGTTTGCAAATAACTGATAAGTAAAAGAGGTGGAGCGAGACAGGGACAGACAGAGATTGCAATCTTTTGATCTTTGTTGTGCTCTCATCAGCAAACCATGGTTGTTTGAAAATAACTGATGAGTAAAAGAGGTGGAGCGAGAAAGAGACAGGCAAGAGATTGCAATCTTTTGATCTTTGTAGATTTTGAATTTAGATGAGCCAGACTCTAAGATGCACATCATTGTATGACACTTACACCTAATAACATGGCAAAGTATAACACTTACCCTTGAGTTGGAGCAACATGGTCTGGTAGCATAAAATTTTTAATCAAATGTGCAGTTGATGACAGAATAAAGCTGATTCAAACAGCATATGCAAGCAGGAATATCCAAGAGGCACTGATATTGAAGCTTTTAACTTACCCTAGCAAACTCCAAAAGTTGAGACCAAGTATCCCTAGAGATTGCTTTATTATGTCGGGCCTGGTTCAAGTGACATAGGAGCATAAAATGCAATTAGAAAACAGCTAAAAGTAGAAACTGATGCAGAAGATCCAAAGAGACTTGACAGACAAAAGGATAGTACATGCAATTTTATGGAGCTTATCATCAATACAAAAATTGTGCCTTTTATGAAAGAAAGAAATAAATAAATAGCACACGAAGTTCGCTGTAAGTTCATGTTAAAGAGATCCTACTAAGACAGCTATCAGAGATCTAATTAACTCTAAGATAGAACATTAGACCTATGGTATTAGAGAAATTATACGTTATCACCTTTTGCAGCAAAGTCTCGTATCACAGTTATTGATAATCTAATTTATATCTAAACAATGAGGATTATAACTTAAAATAACTACCTCAAGCAAAAAGTTAAATTTATTGCAGGTCAATTAAAAATGATTATTCCTTAATTAGTGCCTATATATTTCCTGCAGCATATCACAGGATTTCTAACAAAAATAGGAAGGAAAGAACACAATAGGTTTCTAAGGTACCTGTAAAAACTGGCACCAATGGTCAACCAATAGCCACTGCTTCTCAGCAAACAGCAATTGCCACATACCAATTGCAGTATCCAATGCCAAAGATTTCTGACCCTGAGATAGACAATAAAAGATCAATTCCAGCATAAAGCTATCATCAAGGGGAATGTATCTTTCACCACATTGACATTTTAGTGGAAATTCTGAAAGCATTAAATCACATTTCAACATAGATTTGTTAATAAATATATAGCAGAGAACTAATCTAAAGGCTGAATCTTTATTTTTGTAACACAAACATCCACAAATGAATATAAGAGAGGAATAATCATATTTGAGGAATAACCATGAGAGGCAGTCAGTCACTTGACAAGGAAAAAGAAACACCATGCCAGAAAAAAGTAATCTGAATCCAAATTAACTTTACTGAAACTATTCACTCAATTAGCACCAAATTATCTTTCTGCCCAGAAAAAGCTTACTATTAAGGATGGTTGACATGAAAAGATAATATACCTTTTCTTTTGCCCAGCCAAATGCAAAGTTATATATCTCACGAAACTTTTCTGCACTCACAATAAACAAAGATAATAATAAGTGTGCATCACCAACAACACTATGTTTAACTTGTGTCGCTACATATTGATAAACCTAACTGATTTTAAAAAAATCAAATAGTCTGAATATAAATCTAAATAAAAGATGATTCTTCTGCCAAATGTTAACATGCATGACAAGTTTAAATAATTTTCTGATTGGACACTGAAAATTATACTCTCTGAAGCAGTGACCATACGTTCATCTTTCAGCTCAGAGCGCATAAATGATATCCTCTCACGAAACTTCTCCAAAGAATCAATCCTGTCATGAAAATGTATAAATTTCTCTCAGTATACTCATCATAGTAGGTCAAATATTGAATTCAATATCATTTCAATTTAGAAGATTAAAAAAGGACATAAATGCCCACCCCAGTGCCTGCAACCCAATGAAAAACTCCTGCTTGGAATATTCACACATGGTAGAAGCCTTCATGTGCCACGAAACAACTAACTGCAATTTACTAAAATATTAGCATAATTGTCCACAAAATATTGAAACCATATAGGAACAACTTGTAAATATCCATTCACATCTTGTGAAACCTCCTAGAATATTCTAACTATTTATGATAATGTCCAAACTTCCTTTAATGGTTTAGCAAAACATTTAACCCCAAGTACCCAAAACCTGTCATCATTTTGAACAGTCAGCACCATAGGAGTTAGAACTTAGAACAACTATGCTAGCCAGCATGAGAATGAAAATTCAGAACCCTACTATTCTTATAACTCATTAGCTTTAGCAGAAGCCAAAATATTCCTCTCAGAACCCTCCAAATTTCATATTGTATTAAGTCCAACCAGGAAATTAAAAGATAATTTAGAAAAAGGCGAATCACCATTTTTCAAAACTACTACTATTGCGGGATGTAAAATTTAAAACTGATAGTATTCACAATGAGAAAAAGCAAAGACCATGGTCAATGCACACATTGAGTGCAAGAAAAGGGTGGTAAAGGTAGCTAACAATGCCAGTAGGATCTGAGACCTTTTGTTAACACTTAGGACCCTTGAACAAAATGTATGCTAAAGAGGAGAATATACATGCAGAAAACAATAAATCTTCTTCATATGAATGCCTTTTATCACAAGAGATCACAAGAGATTGTGCTTCAGGATACAGACATACCATAACAATATCTTGGGGATCCACCTGTGCAAAAATCAAGGTTACCACGTGTCATCAAATTTTGAAATGGAAATGGTTTTATGTATCGATAAAATAATAGAAATGTAAAGTAAAGCAAAGCAAAGGGGTCTAAAAATGTCAGGCATCAAATCTTAATTGATAAAAAAGGCTACCTGGAGGTCATTGCATAGGAGAGTAATACCATCAACCAGTATCATATCTGTGTAGGGATCTGCATAAAACATTGGAGTAAGTATTTTTTATGAAACAAGTCCTACAAACTACTAAATACAGCCAAGGTACCGATAAATGGAAAGTAAGCAGCAGAAATGAATTTCTAGATTTCATCAGAATATAAGTAATACTTTATTAATATCTCAAGTAAAGAAAAGAAAAACTTCAGCAGTATTCTCTGTTAATGTTCCATCTACAATACTGAACTCAAACATAAGCACAAGATTATTAAGGCAAGAGTCCAATCCTTTTAGTGTTATGTTTTAAGGGCCCTAAAGAAAGCCACACAGCAAGTAAAAACTACAAAATGGGAAGAGAAACATAAAATAAAAAGAAAAGAAAAGCTAGCCTTTATATCTGTTATAAAGCTCTTCCAAGTGTCTAGTGTCAGTACAACTTTTAATCTGAGGCTGGCTGTAGAAAACATCAAAAGCCCCTTCAAGATGCCAATCGCTGGCCTTCAAAGCTTGAAGAGCAATTTTTTCACTGCAATTAAATAACCCAATGAATAAAATTTATGAACAAAAGTAATGAAAAAGCGACCACCTGCAAATAAATACAATCTTGATTACAGACAGCAAGTCATAATTTTAACGGTAAATGGAAAAAAAAATGGCATTGGCACACACAGGAAGATATAGTGATTAGTATTACAAACAGGTCAAAGTAATCAAGATACAGCAGCTACCATTGAAGCAGTAACATAAAGCACCGAAAATCAAGCATCTATCTGTTTTCTAGGAACATGTCATCAGTGTTAGATTTAGATGATTTTCACATTAACCTAATTCTCGTTAACCATTATGATGATTTAATAAACCATCTCACCATATAGCCAATAAGACATAAGATGCAGCCCTTCAGAGCATCAAAGCCCTGACTAGGCAAGCCACTGTCAAGTAATCAAAGACAACATCAGAGATTAAGCTTTCATTCAGCTTAGATACTAAGGCAGGAAGTAAAGAAAAGCAAACAGGCTAGGTTATGCCAAAAAGATCACCTTATTGCCTCTTACTGATCTTATACATTTCCCTTTTGGTTTCAGTATTCTTTTTCTCCTGCATCCTTATTTTATATCATGTATCAAAATTCCTCCATTATTTGTTAATCATACAACAAAATGATGCCACAAGCACCTAGCATCCAATTTCTCTAAGAAACTAGGGTAACCTGTTTTATTGATTTTCCAGGGGACAAGAATCTTTTGAGAAGAATGACATTATTTCCGGAGTTTTTTTTTTTTTTTTTTTTTTTTAATATTTGACGTAGAAAGCTATTTTTGACAATTTAGTGAAACTCAATGATCATTGAACTCATTAGGCTCAAAAACAAGGACAATGACACAGTCACTATGGGTTTCTAACAGACAGGCTCAAGCCAAGTTTTCATCAATCTGCTATTGGAAAAGACTAAGAAGAAAAAAAGAAATGCCAGCATTCCTCACTTGCAGCAGCCTGTAAATCCACCAAAAGGCATGCCAAGGCAGATTATGAAGGGCTCACTAGGAACTTGTATAGTCATTAATATTTAATGTCCTATTTCTAAGGTCTCCAGTTTTTAATATTTGTTGTTTTAGCCAATAAGTAATCCTTCAATTACTATCCTCTCCACTTTTTAGATATCTATTGTTCCTTCATTATCGTCCATTTTCAAACTCTCTATGTTAACAATGATTTGAAAGTATACCCCAGAAGCACCCAAATATTAACAGTGAAACCACAAAATAACATCAGGTTACCTCGCTCCAGTTATTGTCATGAACTGCTGAACTTTGTCCCGATGACCTCTGCCCAGTTTGTGCTGTTACAAACAACAAAACCATATTACATGACAAAAGCTAGAAAATTTGTCATACACTGTCATGCATGACGTGCATCTTGTTAGACGGTTAAAAACAAAAACTGCTTTTATGTGATAAATTTTATCTGTAAGAATTAATAAGAGCTAACAGTTTAAAAATGGAGGGAAAAGGATGGCATCGAGTCAGGGCTAAATATTTAAATAAATAATATACACAGAGTTGGAGTGACATCAACTCACCCATTCGCGTTATGTTTTAGTATAGATACAGAATAAAACTGGTGCAGACCCATCGAAAAATCAACATAATGTAATAAACCCAACAATGAGTAACGATTTCTCTTCTTTCTTTTCCGTTGTTTTTTTTTTTTTTTTTCGAATTCAGCAAAAACCCAACCTTTTCTTTCGGTTAGTTTCCTCAATTCCTTCGATTTTTTCACGGTAAAAATTATCTTAGTACAGAGAAATCTATATGTACAATAATCCAGAAGCAGAATTTACAGAATTGATAACATCTGAATTACCTTATTCAACCAACAAAAATTTCTATATAAGAAGCAGCAATCAAACATAAACCAACAAACCAAAATCTTTTTTAAGAAAAAAAAAAAAAAGAAAACAGAAAAGACGGAACTAACCATTTCGGAGTTTATTGTGGAAAATAAAACCCTAAAATCGTCGAAGAGAGAGAGTTAGATGAGGAGGAAATTTTAGGATTTTCTTTCAGTGGTGGGTTTCTTCTTCCTCTGTCTCTTTCTCTTCAGAAATGTAGAGGATTTGAAAGGACCACAGAGAAAGAGAAGAAAGAATAAGTTGGAGAAGGTTAGCTTTAATACTTCAGTTTCGTTTAGTTTTTGGCATTTTGGGGAGCAAATTGCTTTTCTTTAAAAAAAAAAAAAAAAAAAAAAAAAAACTAGGGGCCAATTGGTTTGAGGCAATTAGTTTTGGGAGTTTTGGTCCACAGTATGTCGCCGCCCAACCTTTTCCCACGACCGCTGCCCATCCTTTGTTTTTCTTATACCAAATTTAATTACCCAATAATTATTAATTCCATCTATGATAATAATAAGTGAAGGGATTATTGTAATTATTATTTTATAAACCAATGAAATTTTTTAATGTTATAAGTTTATAGAATTTTTATCCATTTATTTAATAATTAAATAATTTATTTTTAATATTTTAAATAAAATTATATTAATCTTTTAAATTCATTTATGAAATTAAATAAAACTATATTTGGTATCCAATACCCATAAATGAAAACTTTATCTCAATGAACTCAAATAAGAGGATCTTTTTTTTTTTTTAATTTTCTTCTTATTCAAGCGTTCCAAACAACACTTTTTATTTATCTTTCTATAGTCTACCTTGCCATTGTGATAGTCTTTGTTTTGGGGTATTTTAGTAACTTTACAAAAAATTTTATACATTTTCTAATACACTTTCTAAATTTTTTTTAAAAAAACCCACATAGAAAATATTAATTTTAACATTTATTAAATGACAAAAATACGTTTATACACCCCAAACCTTATTCTTCTTCTTTCTTGTTTTCTTTTTCTTTTTTTTTTCTCCTTTTATCCTTTTTTTACGTACACTAAACCCTTCTTTAACACTAAAACTAGATTTTTGAAACTTTGTTAAATCTTGCAAACCATGTAATTCTCGAAAATAATTTTCCAATAATTATATTGTAGTCTTGGAAATGAATTTTTAAAAATGTAATATAATTCTCTAAAATCTATTTTCGAGAATGCAATATAATCAACTTGTTATCGTGAATTTAATTAAATTGTTTCTATTCCAATCGAGCTCAATTACTAGACTAGCATGAATGGGCACCTGTCTTGATAACAAGTTTTCAAGTATGCATGGACAAAAGAATGTTTTTGATTTTTTGGAGTCTCAAGACAAGAATACCTTTTTACTTATGCATGCTTGAGAACTACCATTTTTTTTCTATTCGCATACATGATCAAGTAAATGGGTCCATAAGCTCATATATTTTCAATTAAGTTATTCTTAAAGGTTTCCAAAAATTGATTTCCAATAAACTAAAAGGATTCTCGAAAATCTATTTTTGAAAAAGCCTTAGAGCTTCTCGGATATCCATTTTTGAGAAGCTTAGTTTCACCTAAATCCTAACGCAAACCCTAACCTATATTCATATGCATTTCAACCATAATTCAATCAAAATCAATCTAAAACAAGGTAGGAATATTACATTTAATCAATGAAAAACTCAAAAACATAAGTGATTTGGGGTTAATTTGATGGATTTATGATTTTTTTTTTTTTTTTTAGATTGAAGAGTGAAGAGAGAAGAAGAGAGAATGAGAAGGTAAGAATGGAAAACATAAAGTGAGGTATAGGAGTGTATTTAGTAGAAAAAGAAAATTGAGTTTTGAATTTAGGGGTATTTAGAAATGGGGTATTTAGAGTAATAAATAGAGTGTATATAAAATTCTCCTTGTTTTAGTTCATTCTATCATTTTGCTTTTTAGCCTTAGCAACTTGAGTCTCTTTATTTTTTTACTTTATTTTTTTTAAAAAAACCTTTTTTACTATTAGAATATGAAACAATAAAAATATGGGCACTTTTTAATGTTGCTTTGGAAGCTTAAAAATCATAATAGCCTATATCATATATGTGGCTTTATTATCATCATCTTTATGATTTTGATAGATCAATGATGCCTCATTTTAATATTTTTAATAGTGATAGGTAGAATATGATATACAAGTTCTTTTCTTACTTGATAACTATTATCAAGTCTTAATACCAATTGACAAAGTTTTGGCCAAATTGACATCCTATATGCTTTAAAAGTAATAAGTTATTATTGTATATTTAAGAACTATACAAAATGTACATATCTAGATATAAAGAACTAGTAAGTTTAAGTCATTATGCATTAAATCAATTTATGTACAATATTTTATCTTACTCTTACTTTTTTTTTAATTTAATAGTTATTTTCATTAATTCAAGAAAGATTTAAGTTTTCTTATTAGATTAGACCCATTTAATTTACCTTGAGTTTACCCAAAATATTACGATAAGTAAATTACATAAATAAATCTACTTATCAATCACATAATATGACTACTTGATGAGTTAGGTGATAGCACATTGTTTAATTACATCTTACACCACTTGTCCAACCAATGTCTTTGACACTATATGATCATAAGTGTGCTTATTCAAATCATATAAATTAGTTAAGTAATATCAATTAATTATAATATAAACATATTTCTATTAAAAAGACTTGAATTTACTTAATAAATCTAAAAAATAGCAACTCTCATTTTTATGTCAAATAAAAGGCAACTTAATCATATTGCAAAATATGTGACTTAAGTTTATTTTAGTATCATCACATCATAGTATTTATCATATATCATATATACATATCATGTATATTATATAGACATGCTTAGCATTTATAATATATCAAACATATATATATAAACCTAGCACGCTTATTACTTTATGATTATGGACATTTACTAATCTAGCTTCATCTAAGCCATTAAACGAGCTACATGATCAAGGCCTAGGGGATTGCATCAATTGGTCTACCTAAGTTGCTATGCCGAATCTTTTTAGTGCTCCTACGGTGACTTGAGTTTTCATTCTCTAGTTTATATCTAGTTTTTCTATCTTAATTCTAACTTATGTAACCATTACATTATTTAGAGAAATCTTGAGTTATGTCCAAAGGGATTAAAATGAGAAAATAATGTTACAACTCTAGAATTTTAGAGATGAACCAAAACATGGAACTTTATTTGAAAAATACCATAAAGTAATTAATCATCCATACATCCATAAGAGGTTGATGTAGCTCAAAATTTCAAAAAAAATGTAAATAAAAAAATTGTAAGAATAAAGAAAAGGAAAATTCAAAATAAAGATTTAAAAAGAAGAAAAAGAAATAGAAAAGAGAAATTCAAAGAAAAAAGATAGGTAATATATTCATATAACAAAATGAACAATACCCTACCCCTATCCCTCTTTTGTGCTACTCTTACTATAACAACTACATTTGGAGAATCTTGAAAATGCCAATAGCTTTCTCATTCACTCTATAACAATAAAAACAGTCTTTGAAATAAGGGCCTTAAATAAGTGATAGGTCTTACATGTAAGAAATTTAAATAACACTCCAACATATAAAAGAATGAGTCTAGTATTTAGGCCTAAGTTATGATCAATAGATCAGTCTATATCAATACTCTTTCCATGAAAAGATCCTTGCCTTCTAGGATCAAATTAAACTATTTCTTTTAAATTTAAATAGAACTTCTCATGTATCATCTTCTAGAAAAGAGTTAGTCCCTTGCACCAAGACTTGTGGTAACCTAGTTTCTTTTTTCAACTATCATTTTGTCCATAACTTTAACTGATTTTTTTACCATAGTGCCATTTTCATCAACCACCATGTTGTTAGCATCAGCAACAAACTTGTCAACAATAATGAAATTAGTGGATAGTAAGAGAAACATCTTTTTTTCCTTGGCCTTATCAAAGAGCAACATTGCTAGATCATGTTTGTCTTTTTTCACAAAAATAACCTCATCAACATCACTTGTAGAAATGTCAGCATGAAGCATTCTTCAAACATTTCTTTCAAAGAGCTTTGGTCCTCTCAATCAAGTGATTTACTAAAGATTCAAACTTTGATATGGTCAAAATGATATTAAAGTGTTTTGTCTATAAACGCTAGCTATTATTTAATTTCAATTTGTGATGTTGATAAGAGTTCGATTTTAGCCTTCTCAATAGCTTTTTGAAGCCTTTTAAATGTAAGTTTATCTTTTGAAAGATCAATTCCTTTAGTTTTCTTGAATTCACTTACCAAAAAATCCAATAGAGCATTATCAAAATCTTCTCATTATAAGAAGATATTATTATTTGTTGTTTTAATCTCAAAAACTCTATTAGAATTCTCCAAGATTGAACTATCAAATGTACCATTACTAGGATAAAAAAACTATAATGAGACCTTTATTGTTGTTCACTCCATATGAAAAGGCAATAATAATAAACTCATTGGTTATTCTTTGGACATCAAGGCCTATAATTCTACCAGCATCATTAGTCATTTACCTTTAAGCATCATTAAAATAAGCTGGAACAATAATAATTGCTTTAGGAACACCTTTTCCAAAGTAAGCTTCTACAATTTCTTTCATCTTGGTCAACATAAATGCCCCAATTTGGCTAAAAGAATATCATTGCCCATTTGTTTCAACCCATATTTCTCTATTGAGAGCCTTGACAATTTTAAAAGGAGCCATCTCTATTTTTTTTTTGCTTTTGGGAATCATCATATTATTTACCAACTTGATGTTTGTTTTTAGAAAATGTATTAGTTAGATTGATCATAGCTTGATGTTATGCAAGGTTACCCATAAAGACTTTTTCATGTTAATTTTCATAACCTCAATTAAGTAACCCAGGCTAATCTTTATATTGTAACCATCACTGTCAAAAGTTAATTCTTTCCTAGCTAATGCTATCTTAGCTTTAATATGTTCACATGGGTTTCTATAACAGAAATCGATGAAATGGAGGAAATTTGCAAATGCTATAGCAATAGCTTGTCCAAGCTCATAAAAAATAATTGAAAATGAAATCAGCTATTTAAGACCAACCAATTCCATTATTTTAAAGTCAATGTCAGAGGACTAAATACTATCGACTGGTATTATTTCCCTATGAAATTCACCTCGGAGATTTGCCTCATCAACATTGTGGTGGCATCTAAGTTAGCAAAGGTTATTGTAGGGGCTGGCTTTGTCAATTAATTATCAAGCAATAAATTGCCTGCACATATATAAATATACTTTTTTGAAAACCTCCAAAACC